CTTTTGTCCGGAAGATAAGCCTCACCGAGTTTTCGCTTACTCACTGTAGAATTTCTATTTCTTTTAGACAATAAATATCAACTGTTTATAATCGTAAGATGGGGGTAAAGCCCCGCCAAAAAAACTGGGATCCAGCGATACTCAAAGAAGTAGTAATCCAAATCAAAAAAGGGAAAATGTCACAAAGACAGGCAGAAAAACATTATCAGGAACCGTGGCGTTGTATAGCAAGACGGATGGACTTGAAACTGAAAATCGTAATCGCGGACCGTACTGTAAGTACTTTTTTTTTTAATAATTGTTTTTATTAGAATCTACATAAATGTCTTGTAAATAATGGTAACTGATTTTGTTTTTTTTATGTTTCAGGTTCTCTTGGTACGGAAAACGAGAAGAAATTGGCATATATTAAAAAACTGTGCGTTGCTGGTTTCTGTCTTGACCAAATAAAGTTCCGACAGTTAGCATCCAAGAAATAGGGCGGCCTCGCGAGGACGCGAGGCGCCCGCAGGAAAATTTGTCAAATACGCCCGTGCCACGGCCGGACCCCCGCGGAGCGCCGTGATTGGTCGCGACCATGTGCGCCGTTATGTTGCGCACCCCCGGGCTGGGGGTGCAGGCATTGATCGCGTATCGAATGCGATCTACGCCGCTTTCGAGTTTGTTGATACCTTGCGCGTCAACCATAAATTCAATCGAGGGAAAAAAATTGCTGGTTACAATTGGCTTTCGTCATTCTTGAAAGGAAACCCCGATATAAGTGTTCGCCAAGTTGAATTAGTTCTCTCCATCGCCAGAGATCGCGGTTTGGTTAGAATAGAAATTAGAAAATGGTTTGATATTTTGGAAAGTGAAATACGGAAATACTGACTTCAAGACAAACCGCAGAATATTTTGAATATGGACGAATTAGATGTTCAATTGATCAATCAAGTCGGATAAGTGTTTACCGCTAAAGGAGCGAAAGTCGTTCACAAAATCACGACGGGCAAATGAAGAGAAACTGACGTTGGTGACCTGCTGTACAGCGGAAGGGAGATTTCTATCACCGACCTTAATTTACAAAAGGAAAATTTCAAGGCAGAATTCCAAGATCTTTAACGAGGATTTTCGGCGATAGCTTGCTCCAGTAGATCATCATCCACAGTGCAGGAACACCCAAACCTCGTCTTTGAGAGTGAAATCATTTTGTTTCAAATTTCACAAACTACCTTTAATTTCGAAAACACTTACTTTAACTCTTAGGAGGGCGAGAGGAAAGGGGGCTAAAAAATTTTAAATGGCACGTGGGGCACGTCGAGTAAAGGCCTATTTGAAAGGGCTTTTCGAGATAAGAACACGAAATTGTTCAGGTTTCTACAATTTTTTTCGCAGAGTTATGCTCATTTGAATATTAATGTTATTTAACGCTAGCGAGGGTCCGCAGCAAGGAAGATAAGGCTAAGATATAGTAATGTTATAAAAATACTCACCAGCTATCGTGAACTTTACCAGCTCCGCTACGACTACGTATCAATATCTTTCTGTCCTCATTTGTAATGCAGTTTTCGCTGCTAATAGCACATCTTTATCCTGAAGATGGATTTTTAGAGTGTCATCTAGTGTGTTGTAGCACTGCAAACGAAAATATAGTTGATATTCTGAATACTTCAGACTATGTATTTCTAAATGCATACACATTATGTCGGAAAAATAACGGAACTTTATAAATTAAAGAAAAACCAATCAGTTATTTTGGCAAAATTATTTCTGTTTATTCAAAATACATTTCTTCCGTATCAATACACCACTGTGCACGTTCACTCAATGATAACATAGACTTTTTTATGTCGCATTAGCTCGCATTACATAACGACTCTTAAGTGTCACTTAACATACGTAGTCACAAAAACATACTTAGAACTACCACTGACTGTATAATCATTTGGATAATTTATATAAAGCGTGACAGGGACTCCTCAAGGTATTTAATTTTAATTTAATTTAAGTAATTCTATTTTTTTATTTTATAATTTTTTACGGTATTGACCAGCATTGACTTTGTATTGTATAGTATATTCTGCAATATTCAAATAATGTATTTAAACCAACCGAGCTTTAAGCTCTATCATAAAACCGGGAAGAATGAAGTTATACACTTCGTAATATACTGTTTTGCGGACCTATATACATCTGAAGAGTTGCGTCTTAATCTAGTTCATATAATGCGATATAAGTAGTACTTACATTTTTATATTATTTTACCGTTTTAGACGACCGTGTATGTGTTTGTATTTAAAATTTTATATGGTTAGACCATTAGAATGACCGAATATTGTTTTTAAGTTATGTATTATTAATTTTGCGTTTAACATTGAAAATGATCCTATTTGGATCGAAACGTCTGTTTACTATATTTTAATTAAAGAGTTATATTTACTTGGAGCATATAACACTCTGCTTTGACTCATAGCCCTTTATTTCTTATTAATTTTTGTCGTTTTTTGGAATTGCCTCAATGACCCTCGTCACGGCCTCTTGGACTTGTGTAACGCTGTCATAAAACGTTCCTTTTAAGGCCAGTTTGAATTTCGGGAACAAAAAATAATTCAATCAATCAATAGTCCTACTACTCTTGACAGAGCGTAGTGACCTCTTCTCGTATTTCTGCGATGTGCGCTATTTACACTTTTACGCAGATATACGGGACCTACATTTTAACGCCAGTTCCGAACGGCCATTTTTTAAGAAGAGGTTCCTTTGGCAAAGATACTCTCAGTGGTTTGCCATTGCCTTCCGAGAGGCGGCGATCGCTTCCGAATTGATTAAAATCAATATCAGAATTATATTATTCTGGGTGAATTTGAACCCGGATCTTTAGTTTATAAAGCTGCCGCGCTGCTCCTCGCGCCACGATTGCCACAAAAAAAAAATAATTACACGGAGATAAATCAGGTGAATACGGAGGATGTTGAAGCACACAGACTTGTTTTTTCGTCAAAAATTCACAAACTGCGATGATCCTGTGAGGTGGTGCATTATCGTGTAACAAAAATCAACTTCCCGGCGCTCAATATTCAGGTCTGACTCGAACGATTCTCTTCCATAAACGCTCCAAAACACTCAAATAATATTCAGTTACATTTTAACCGAAAAGGCAATCATTTCACGCACTTTTCTACCAATTCTTCGTGATTTTTGTTTTTTGGTTGGTCTAACTTAGGTCGTTTTCCAAAACTTCACGACCGTCCTGGAATCGCTTATATTATTCGAACACACGTGTACAGGCCCATACAGAACATAATATCTGTTAGATATCTATTCGATATCCTCATATCCATGATAGGATATCCATAAATCTCTAATAAATAGCTAGTAGACATCCTCTATACATCCAAATGTCCGCAATACGACATCTCAGAAATATCCATAAGATATCTAAGCCAATCGATTACATATTTATATACCCAAATAGCACAAAAATGATTAAAAATAATGATTAAGTAAATGTTTATGAAATCAAA